CCCACCCCGCGACCCACCCGCGACCCACCCGCGACCCACCCCGCGACCCACCCGCGACCCACCCCGCGACCCACCCGCAACCCGCCTGCGACCCACCCGCGCCCACCCCGCGACCCGCCCGCGACCCACCCCGAGGCCCCCCCGGCGACTCACCCGCGATCCACCGACGACCCACCCCGAGACCCATCCGCGACCCACCGCGACCCCCCCGCGACCCCCCCGCGACCCACCCCGCGACCCACCCAAGATTTTCGGCGCCTGCGGCGGGTTTCTTTTTGCATTCGTTCCAGGTGGAGAACCTGCGATCCACCCGCGACCCAAACCGCGTTCAGTGTACAAATCAAAATTTGCGGCGCCTGCGGCGGGCTGTTTTTGAATTTCTTCCAGGTGGAGGTAGAGAGCCCGCGACCCACCCGCGACCAAAACTACGTTCACTGAACAAGCCGAAACTTCGGAGGCCGAGGACGAGGGCGAGGATGAAAAGGAGGGGGGGACGGAGGGGGACGACGAGAAAGGAGGGAGGAGGAGGGAGAGGAGGAGGAGGCAGGACGAGGAGGAAGAAGGATAGGAGGAGGAGGCGGAGGGGGAGGAGGAGGGGAGGAGGAGGAGGAGGAAGGAGGAGGTAGGAAGGCGGGGAGGGAGTGAGGAGGAGGAGGAGGAGGAGGAGGGGAGGAGGTGGAGAGGGGAGGAGGGGAGGAGGAGGAAGGAGGAGGAGGAGGAGAGGAGGAGGAGGAGGAGGAGGAGGAGGAGGCAAGGAGGAGGAGGCGGAGGAGGAGGAGGAGGAGGAGGCGGAGGGGAGGCCAGGAGGGTGGGAGGAGTGTGGAGGAGGAGAGGAGTGGGAGGAGGAGGAGGAGGAAGGAGGAGAGGGAGGAGGGAGGAGGAGGAGGAGGAGGAGGGGAGGAGGAGGGGAGGAGGAGGAGGAGGTGGATGAGGAGGTGGAGGAGGAGGAGGAGGAGCGAGGCGGAGGAGGAGGAGGTAGGAGGAGGGAGGAGGAGGGAGGAGGAGCGGGGAGGAGAGGAAGAGGAGGAGGAGGAGGGCGGGGAGGTAGGCGGAGGAGGAGGAGGTGGAGGAGTGTTAGTGAGAAGGTGCAGGAGGAAGGGAGGAGGAGGAGGGGACGGAGGAGGACGACTCGAACGGAAAGGTGGACGAGGAGGAGAGGGGGAGGAGGAGGAGGAGGAGGAGGAGGAGGAGGAGGAGGAAGAGGAGGAGCAGGAGGAGGAGGAGGAGGCGGACGACGACGACGAGGAGGAGGAAGAGGAGGAGGGCGCCATTGACAGGGAAGGTGAGGGCCACGAGGTCCGCCAGCTCGACTCCCGCGTCGCCCGCGCCCGCCCCCTCACTCATATCCGCAATTGCGGGGCGCTACGTACTATTCAAATTGAGCAACTGAATGGGGTTGGACACGACATTCGCGCGTAAGCTGCCTGTGTAAGATGGTGCGTGAGCGCCCTCGTCGCATATGTCGAGTACCGCGGTGGCAGCCCGCGTAAACCACCGCGTATGGTCGCTGTGCCATCTTGCCTAGACCCGCCTCTTTTTGTGGCTCGATTGTGGACGCGAAGTCCTTCCCTCACTCTCCCCACTCGCCCGCTGGATATCCCTCCATTGGCCGGGGCCGTCTCCAGGTTCCTGCGCCTTCCCCGCCCACACGGCCGTTTACGTGGGAAGTCTGCCTGTGCGGCCGCTTAGAGCCAAACTCGATTCAGTCTCACAGGTGCGGAGAAGCACTGGGTCCGGTAGTCCTTTGCTTGCTTGCTCCCCCCCTCCCCTCCACCCCCGTTCGTGTTGGGGGGCCCAAAAATGCACACCACCACCACCACCTCCCTGACCCCCTCCCTCCTCCCGGGAAGGAGGAGGGGAGGAGGAGACTAGAGGAGGGAGGAGGAATCGACGTGGTGGTGGTGGTGGGGTATATTCTTGGGGCCCCGCTCGCGCGGGTGGCTGGCTGGCTGCCTGTGCGAAGCCGCGCGCCCCGCGCGTGCACCCGTCGAACAAAACACATGTGGAACCCTTACCCCCCCCAACCCGAAATTCGGGTCTTCGGGTTGGGTTGGGGTGGTCTGGTAGGTAGTCAATCTCGTGCCGTCGCAGGCCTCGAGCCGCAGGGCTTCGCGAGAAGGGCCCCCCGGGGAGGCCCGCAGCCGGGCGAGTAATGTTGCGCTCGGCGCGAGAGAGAAAAAGGTGGCAGCGCCCGGATCTCAGGGCCCCCAGACGCCCAGACCCCAGCCCCCCAGACAGAGGGAGTGAGGGCAAAATAAAAAACAATACACCAACACATAAAAATAACAAGTCATATATATATATGTATATATATAAAATTATATTCATTATATATGTATATAAAGACAGAGGGAGGGAGGGAGGGTGGGACCCCCGACGGCATGATTTCTCACAAGTTCGACCCCCAGTCGGCAGCGGGCGAGGGGGGGAAGGGAGAAGGAGAAGGGCCTCTCAGAAGGCTCGGAAGTCCCCCGGCCTTCCGAGAAGTTCTCTGAGCCTTCCCCGGAGACAAAAAACCTTTCAGAAGGCAGGAGGGCCCCTTCCCGTCAGCAACAAAAACGGCTCGGGATGAACGACGGGCCCTGGTCGGCGGCGAGCGAGGGGGGGAAGGGAGAAGGAGAAGGCCTTCTCAGAAGGCCGCGGGACTTCTCAGGAGCCCTGCTGCCTTCTGAGTTTGTTTTATGTGTTTTTCTGGTCTTCGGGGAAGGCTCAGAGAGCTTCTCGGACGGCCGGGGGACTTCCGAGCCTTCTGAGAAGGCCCGCCCCTTCTCTCTAGGTCTCCTAGATGGGGTCGATGCATCGACGATGCGGCTCGATGTGGAGCCCGTGTTTCCCCTCGCCGATGTCGCCGATGCACCGCCGACGTCGCCGATGCATCGCCGATGCATCGACAGTATATCGGCGATGCATTGGCGATGCGGCGCGATTCCTCGACCCCATCGACTCGAACCCCATCCAGGAGGCCTCTATTCCTAAGTGGGACCTGTCCCTCTGCAGGGGGAATACTCAAAAGTACTCCAAAAATAGTCTGGGGACTATTTTATGCGCATTTTCTTGTACCATGTTGGAGTTTTTTTTTGTGTGTGTGTGTGTGTGTGTGTGTGTGCGTGTGTTTTTTATATATAAAATAAGATTAGTATGTTTTTTATTCCCCCCATTTTTTTGCTTTTTATTTTTTCGCCGAAAAGCCCCCTGTAGGGGGACACGCCCGACTTGAATCCAGGAGGCCCCTATCCTCCCTTCCCCTCCTCGCTCGCCGCCGACCCAGGGGGTCTCGACCCCCGCCCTCCCGGGCCCGTGCCTCTCGGCCCGCGCGGGGGGCCCCCCGGCCCGGGCCTCCCCCAGCTTGGCCGAAGAGAGGGCGAGCAGACGCACGCTCCCACACGCTCCCCGCCCGCTCCCCGCCCGCCCCCCCACGGGCGCCAGTGGATGAACAATACATTCGACATCACCGTTGATCTCCTCCTCCTCCTCCTCCTCCTCCTCCTTCCCCTCCCCCTCCTCCTCCTCCCCCTCCTCCTCCTCCCCCTCTCCCACTTTTCCCTCCTCGCTGTCCTCCTCCTTCCTGCCCCCCCGCGCCCCCGCGCCCCCGACATCAACGTTGATCTCAGTCAAGGCGGGTGCTTTGGGGTTCGAATAGTTCTGTCCACTCCCGCCCCCCCCCGTCGCCACGCCATCAATATGAATTTCGGGGGGTCGGGGGGGCATCTTGGGCCACTTTGTTCGAACGTCATGTCCATGTACGGGCCACCCCAACATGGGAGTGCGTGCGCAGAAAGGTCTGCTGATCACGTCCTGTCGCTCCCTTTGTCTCCTGACATAGCCTCTGGCTCACGAGATCCACCGGCCCTCCCCCCCACCCTGTTTTTACTTTTTTTTGTGTATCGGCCAAGACTGGTCTCACCGTGGGACGACTGGCAGCGGCTGCGCGTAGACGCTGCCCGTGAGACTCGAGACGCATCCACCGCTGTGTGAAAGACTAAACATGCTCATACTCGGAAACTGGAGCACATACATTACCAGTGGCGGGCTCTTTTTCAGTCCCAGGACTTTGCGAGGGTCGGCGGCGACGTCGGGGTGGTGTGGTGTATACTTTTTATCTTTCTTTTTCCCTCAGGAAACAACGAAACATGTATACACCAGGATCCCGTATACACCAGGATCCGCTTTCCTGTGCAACTTTCAGTGCAGGGCCCGAAATAGCGGCGGTGTATAGAGTTCGGTTCCCTACATACGATGTGTGCGTCGCCCTCCCTGGGATTGACGCGCGCACCGAGAAATCTTGTAGCACGTGCGTCGTGGCGGGCGCTTTCTGGCCACGCCGCTCGGGAAACGATGTATAGTACAGGCTAGGTATACTGTATGTTCGGGTCGGACGCGTGCCTCCAAGGAGGATATATACATATATGGAAGATTTAACATCGAGAAGCGAGGAAGGAGCGAGCAGACGGCCGCACGGCTTCGCCGCCGTGCTGCTCAAGCTCCGAGGCCCCCCAAGGCTGCCGGCGCCCGGCCTCTATGCCCCTGGAGCTCGCGGCGGCGGTGGGGCTGGAGGCCGTGCGTGGTCTCGCCGCCGGGGCCGCGGCGTGGGGCGCTGCGGCGGGCTCGCAGTGCCCGCCCTGCGCGGCTTGCCCTGCCTGCCACTGCCAGTGCGAGCCGAGGTTGGCTTGCCCGGGCGGCTCGGTGGTCGAGGCCCGCCCCGTGGGCCTCCCGACAGCCATCCTCGCCGGGCTCGCGACGGCGGGCGCAGGGGCGGTGGCCGGCTGGGCCCTCGCGCGGTGCCAGACGCCGACGTCCAGGGCCCCCGCGCAGCCTCCAGGGCCTCCGGCCAGGGGCTCCCTGGCGGCGCTTGAGGCGCCCAGCTTCGCGGAGGTCGCGGCGGCACAGGCGGCGGCGCTGCGGGCCAGGAAACCCCAGCTGACGGCGTGATGGCGGCGGCGGCGGCCGCCCATCCCCTCGAGGCCAGCTGCCTGCGCGCAGGGGACTTCGTCCTCGTCGAGTACGTCGGCCACCAGAACGTGCTACACGAGAGGCTGGTGGTCCTCTACGACTTGCAGGGCCAGCGGCACGTGGACTACAAGACGGTGGTGACGAGCATGGAGGAGGGGGCCTTCCCAGACTGGCCTGTCCGTGGCCCCCGCACGGAGCTGTGGACGCTGAAGTTCATGGAGGCGCACGGGGGCACCCCCACTGGTCGTCACTCGAGGTGGCTCTCAGAGACGCGATTCGCTGGTCACGAGCCTGGCGTCGATGAGCACGAGAGAGTTTGCCGTATTCTAGAGCGGAAGGTGGTGCACGACCCGCTGAACGTGGCGAACCTCGCCTCTGGCGAGATGTTGGCGCGGGCGGCGCAGCTCCAGGAGGAGCGGTACCGCGACAGGCTCGCGCCGGCCGTGGATTCGCCGAACGAGAACGCTCACGTGATGTTGGGGACGGACCAGCTCCGCGGCCACGTGTGCGTCGCCCCGGCGCTGCAGGAGTTCTGCAGGGACGAGCTGTCCAGGCCGAATGCGTACCGCAAGGTGCACAGAAAAGCCAGAGAGGAGCGCGAGTTGTCCCGAAAGTCAGGCAAAGACAAGAATAAGGGCAACGGCGGCAAGGGCTCTGGCGAGAATGATAAGTGACCTCGGAGCGGGGGTCGGAGATGGGCGCCCGTCCCCCCCAGCCTGCCCACCGGCTGGCGACGCACCTGCTGCGCGCCAGTCACCTTCTTCCCCTCACTCTGCTCATGCTGGAGAGCGTCAGCGAGATCTCTTCCCGCTGCCCTATCTGGCGGGGCCGGGCGAGGACCCACTTTTCGGACGCAGTCGTCGCGCTCGTCGCCGCCGAGGCGCCGCCGAGCACAGGCGTGACTGGGCCAATGACGCTAGCGATGTCATGAATGCTGTATGCGCTCCTGGGGCTCAGCCGTCGGCCGTCGGTCTTGCCGAATGTCAGCGGGCGTCGCTCGAGCACATTCAGTCCGCGTTCGCCAGCCTGGAGACGCTCCCCGCTGTTGAAGGTTTTGAGGACGGAGCTCCCAGTGAGCTCCTCGACGGCTCCCCGCGTTACAGCTCGGGGGGGCCGCGGTGGCCCCACTCGCGGGACCTGATCTCGTGGCCGGATGTTGGCGAAGACCCCGTCCCCATCACGGACGTCGTTGCTGACCCGGGCGCTCAGTGGCTTAGGGCTTGGAGCTCGAGCATGCTGCGTGACCGAGGTGAGGCTGATGCCCTCTTGCAGCAGGTTTGCCCTCGCGGGCCGTGTGTCGACCCGCACCTCTCCTTCTCGCCCGTCACCTACGGCGATTTCCTTGCTGAGATGTTTAAGCGCAAGATGGTCTGCTTCCAGGTGGAGGATCCCAGCATCAAGCCAGTTGGAGTCTTTTGCTTGGCAAAGAAGAGCGGCCGTCTGAGACTGATTTTCGACACTCGTACAGCGAATGCCTACTTCGCCGATCCGCCCGCCACCGCGCTGCCAAGCGCAGCCGCCTTCGCCAACCTGGAGGCGCCTGGTGGTCGGGTGGTCGTCGCAGCTGGGGACGTGGACAACGCGTTCTATCGGCTGAAGCTGCCCGACGGGCTCTGCGACTACTTCCGGCTGCCGCCTATCGCTCGTCGGCATCTGGAGGCTCGGGGCGTCGCTGGGCTCCCGCCGACGGAGCGCGTGCAGGCCTGCCTCGTCGTGTTGCCCATGGGCTTCTCGTGGGCCTTGCACATGTGCCAGCTAGCGCTCCGGGCAGGCATTGAGCGGGCGGGGGTGCCCCGCCAGCTCGTCATCGAGGATGGGCTGCCCGGCGTGGTGATCCGGCCCGAGGGGCAGGCGGCCGTCGCCGGGTATGTCGACAACTACGTGGCGGTCAGCTCGGTCGAGGCCGAGGCGGGCCGGGCCCTCGCCAGCGTCACGGCGGAGCTGGAGGGCGTCGGGCTGCGGGTGCACACGCCCGAGCAGGCCGCGGACAGCTGCAGCTTCTTGGGCATGGAGCTGCGGCGTGGGCGCTGGCTGACCATCAATGGGCGCACGGCGTGGAGGCTCCGCTACGCCATCGAGGAGCTCCTGCGCCGCGGTCGCGCCTCGGGGCATTTGGTCCGCATCCTCGTCGGCCACCTGACCTGGGCGCCCATGGTCGGGCGCGAGGCGCTCGGGCTGCTCAACTCCACCTACGCCTTCATCGCCTCTACGGGCGCGGAGGTGCAGACGCTGTGGCCGGCGGTCCGCGCGGAGCTCTGGCGGGCGCGTTGCCTGCTGCCGCTCCTGGTGGCCGATTTGACGGCTCCGTGGGCTTCGAGGCTGGTGGCCAGCGATGCCAGTGAGGAGGGCCTCGGGGTGTGCCGGCGTCAGGCGCCCGTAGACCTCGTCGCCCGTTGCGGGCGGCAGTGCGAGCGCTGGCGCTACCGAGTCGCCGGCGGAGCGCGTGCGAGAGACAGAGCGCTCCTCCTGCCCACCTCCACTGCCCAGCCCCCTGGGCTGCCGTCGGAATCGTCCCCAGATGCTACCACGACGGCTTCGCCATGCATGCCGGACATGTCCCAGGACACCTACCAGGACGCTGCCCGTGGCTCGCCGGAGGTCTTCGAGGGCGCGTGCGAGGACTTCAAAGGCTTCCAGGTGGCCAAGGGGGGCCTGGGCATCGAGGGCTCCTCGAAGAAGCAGATGGGGTTCGACGAGGTTCTCGCGGGGCTCTTGGACGCCAAAGCTTGGAGGGGGGTCATCGCTACTCAGGTCCAGGAGGGCCATGACATCTTAGGTCTGGAGGCCGACGCCCTGGTGGTTGCGTACAAGCACCTCTTGAGGTCCTCAGCCTGTCTTGGGAAACGTGTGCTGGCGCTGGTGGAAAATGTGCCCCTCTGCTTGGCCGTCGCAAAAGGTCGAGCAGCTTCCAGTTACCTTCAACTGCCATTGCTGAAGATTTGTATGATGTCACTTGCTACGGGGACTAGATTGCATTGCCGATGGATACCGTCAGAACGCAATCCCGCAGACGCCCTGTCTCGAGGGCGCCGGTCTTGGTTTTCAGACTCCCGCAGTCGGCCGCGGCCCGCCAGGCCGCCCTCGCAGCATGCCCGCGCGGCGGAGGCCTGCCGGCCAGGCCGGCCCGCTCGTTCGGAGGCGACCCGCGCGGCGGCCTGCGCAGGCGGCCACGGACGCCCGAGCGAGGAGGGCAGCGCTGGCGGCCAGGCTGATGGTCGAGAGGCCTGCGTCGGGTCAGCTGAGCGCGCTGGAGACGCTGGCGGTGAGGCCCGGCACCGAGGAGCAGTGCCGCAGGATCCTGCAGGAGTTCGTGGCGTTCTGTTCCGCGAACCACCTGGACTGGAAAAGCCTCGGCCAGCTGGACGAGGCCACCACCAGATTCCTGAACTACCAGTTCGCTCAGGGCGCGCCGGCGAGCCAAGGGTCGTTGCTCCTGGCCTCGCTTGCCCACTTCTTGCCGGGCCTCCAGGGCTCGTGGAAGGCCCATTTGCTTCGGGCCACGAGGAGCTCTGTGGCGTGGCAGCGTCGGGCGCCCGCGATGACCAGGGCGCCGCTGCCGTGGTGCGCCGCTGTGGCCCTGGCCGGCCTGCTGGCCATCAGCGGGCGGCGGCGCATGGCGATCTGGATCCTGCTCGCGTTCAGCTGCTACCTGAGACCCTTCGAGGCGCAAGGGCTCCGCGGAGTCTCGCTGGTGCGGCCCGCCGCGGAGGCAGCTGCCTCGGCGGGGAGCTGGGCCCTGCTGCTCCACCCTGCGAGCGAGGGGCGCCCGGGGAAGACAGGTCTATTCAACGAGAGCGTCGTGATCGACCTCGACCTGCACCTCTGGCCGCTGCTCGGCGCGCTGAAGGGCGTCGTGGGCCCCGAGCAGAGCCTCTGGGACTTCACCCTGCCGGCGCTGCGCGACCAGTTCAAGAAGCTGGACGCCCTCGGCCCGACGCTGCGCGCGCTGCGGCACGGGGGGGCGAGCTGGGACTTGCTGGAAACGCGCCGCACGTTGGAGCAGGTCCAGCGGCGCGGCCGCTGGGCAGCAGCCGCCAGCATGAAGAGGTACGCAGAGGAGGCTTACCTGCAGGAGGTCATGACCCGCGTGCCGGACTGGGTCTTCACGTTCGGGCGGGTCGTTCACGCCAGCCTGCAGCAGATTGTCGAGCTCGGACCAGGCGTCCGGCACCACCCGCGCGCGTGGCAGCTGCTCCCGGCACTCGTCCAGGCGCTGATCGCTGCCGGGCTGCCGTAGCCTCGGCCGCTCAGGTCCGTCGTCATCTGAGGAGGGAGCTAAAGCTACAGTTGAAGTCTGCTCGGTACAGGAGGTTTGGAGTCTTCTTGGAACTCTTCGCCGGTTCGGGGAGAGTGTCCAAGGCCTGGAGGGCCGCCGGCCTCGCCGCACTGTCCCTAGATGTCTTGCATGGGCCCTTGGAGGACCATCTGCATGGTGCTTTTGAGGAAATCATTTCGGGGTGGTTCAAAAGCGGCCTTGTCCTCGGCGTGTTCTTGGGAACCCCGTGCACCACCTGGACCCGGGCCCTCCGAAAGCCACTGCGCGGCTCGGAGGCCCCGATGGGCTGCTCAGGCTTAAACGATAGTGACTTAGCTCGTCTCAAGATAGGGAATGCCACCTTCCATTTCTCATGTCGAATCATTGCGTTGAGTTTAGCAATGGGATTGCCGGTTCTGCTCGAGAATCCGCAGGCCTCTTTAATGTGGGCCGCTCCCCGGCTCCAAAAGCTTGCTTTGACCTCGGAAGCCTCTTTCGCAATCTGCCACATGTGTCAATACGGTACCAGGTGGCGAGAAGCCATGAGAATGCAAGGTTGGAATATTAGCTCACTCTCCCCCCTCACGTGCAGGTGTAAAGGTAAAAATGGAATCTGCTCCCGGACAGGGGCGCAGCACGTCGAACTCTCGGGCGCGGCGCCAGGCGGGCGGAAGTGGACCAGCCTGGCGGCCGAATATCCTCCTCCCTTCGCCGCTGCCGCTGCTGCCGTCCTCGCCCACTCGTCCGAGCAAGTTCACGGTCTCAAATTTGCGGACATGATGTGTGTATAATTGTGCTGTCATCGTGTTTTCGATTTCTGAGCCTTGGGGGGCTCCGGCCTACGGCCAGACTGCCCGTTTGGGAGAATGGGTGCTGTGCGAGTCTTCGGCTGATGTCTCTGCCCTCGTCGCCGGTTCGGGCGTCGAGGGGACCTCGGCCCTCTGGAGTGCCTCTCGAGCGCGTGCGCAGGAAAGACACACACACATATATATGTATGTATGTATGTATGTATGTATGTATGTATGTATGTATGTATGTATGTATGTATGTATGTATGTATGTATGTATGTATGTATGTATGTATGTATGTGTATATATACATATATATATAGATATATATATATATATATATATAATATATATATATATATATATATATCAGCTGTCGCTGTCTGGCCGCCGAAGAGCGTCTGTACTTGCTGGAAGATTTAACATCGAGAAGCGAGGAAGGAGCGAGCAGACGGCCGCACGGCTTCGCCGCCGTGCTGCTCAAGCTCCGCCCACCCTCCCAGCCCATTTTCCTCCTTATCTCAATGCAGATCGGTGCTGTGCGAGTCTTCGGCTAATGTCTCTGCCCTCGTCGCCGGTTCGGGCGTCGAGGGGACCTCGGCCCTCTGGAGTGCCTCTCGAGCACGTGCGCAGGAATAGACATATATACATATATATATATATATATATATATATATATATATATATATCAAGCTGTCGCTGTCTGGCCGCCGGAGAGCGTCTGTGCTTGCTATATATGTAATATTCGCGTCGGGACGATCGAAATGGGTAATTACGGAAAGGATGGGTACGATGCCCAGCAGCAGTTCTTGTTCATTTTGAACAGGACTCGCTGTCAGCGCCGCCGTGGACGTTGTTTTTCGAAAACAAAATCACGCCTTCCCAGCAGGCGGCCTCTGTCGGTTTCGGACAACAATGGTTGTTGGGCATTGTGCCTCTTTTTCTCCGTACCCGTCTCGGGCGTCCAGATAGGATATCTTTGTGGAAACCGATTAATGGAGAGGAAGCATGCTGCCGAACAGTTTCCAGATGTCTAAAAGATGTTTCAAACATGTGTTAGCTATGAAAAACATGATTGCAACATTCTTATCACCGTTTTTTCACATTGTAAGCGCATTCTTACTGCAATGGTCGGATTGTTCGAGTGTCCATTGTCGTGGCATCCACAAGTATAGCTCTGCGCGCCCCAGCCCAGGCCTATCTTTTGCTCCCTCATCCGTCCAGGAGGAGGAGGAAGAGGAGGAGGAGGAGGAGGAGGAGGAGGAGGAGGAGGAGGAGGAGGAGGAGGAGGAGTAGGATTATGGAGGAGCTTTGCATTCGAAGTCTAGGAGGGGGGAGGCCCGGGAGGAGGATGAGGAGGAGGAGGAGTATGTGAGGAGGAGGAGGAGGAGGAACGCGCCTCCGCTGGCGTCCCCCCCCTGCGCAGGAGTGGTCCCTCGTCGTGGAGCACCTCCGGCAGCTGGCGCGGCTGGTGGCCTTGGAGGGCCGCATGCAGCCGGACGGGAAGGCCCCGCCCGGGCGCTCCGTCCTCCTCTTCTCCTCCTCCTCCTCCTGCTCCTCGTCCTCCTCTTCCTCCTCCTCCTCCTCCTCCTCCTCCTCTTCCTCCTCCTCCTCCTCCTGGAGGGCCGCATGCAGCCGGACGGCAAGGCGAGGGTTTTTCGTCGTGCGATCGTTCTCTTGTTCCTCGCTCTGCCGACGCGCGCAGGCCCTCGCCCCCCCCCCCCCTCCTCCACCCCTTATGTGGAGTAGAGTCTGGCTGCCATTGGCCCCTGCTTCAAGCCAGTGGGGTCGCCCCCACAGGACGCACGGCTGCAAGCCGTCGCGTGCAGTAGAGGTTCGGAGCCAGACCCCCCCCCCTCCCCCCTTCCTTCTCCGCCCAATGTCGAACTCGGGGGTGAAGAGAACCCCCACCCTGACACGTCGATTAGTGAATTGTCCGCTTTCGGTTCTCGAGAGGGCGCCGTGGCCGTCATTTTCCAGGCTTGCGCCCGCCAGGTTTGGGCCCGAGGTCGTTTTCACCAAACCACGTTTTACTACAGGGGTTCTGTCCACCCCCGACGAGCCGCCGAATAAGAAAACTTTCACCGTGTTCGGCGGCTGGTGGCCCTCGCGGGGACCCTGGATTGTGAAAAAGATCCCTCCGGGAGTCCAGGGCCACACGTGAACGCTGCCCCCACCCTCCACGAATTCAAGGGGGGGGGCGGTGGGGGTTCACTTCGCTCGGGAGCTCCGCAGCGACACGAACCCCCCCCCCGTAGAAATCGTGGGGGGTGCGGGCAGGGCTCACAGGTGGCCAACCAGGGCTGAGGCACATCGGTTCCAGCGAAGCGGTCCAGAGCTCTGGGGTCGAGGATAAGCCCGGACATGCCGTGGCCTCGCGACACAAAAGCCGCGGCGGAGCCGCGTGTTTCGGCCTCCCCGGCCCTCGCTGGGCCCTGGGACCGTCAGCCAAACAGTGGCTCGGGATGAACAACGGGCCCTGGCCGGCGGCGAGCGAGGGGGGGAAGGGAGAAGGAGAAGGCCTTCTCAGAAGGCGCGGGGCTTCTTAGACCAGTCCTCGAGCCCTCCGGGAAGCGTCCTGTGCCTTCGGGGGAGGGCCCAGAAGACTTTTCAGGAAGGCCGGGGGACCTCCGAGCCTTCTGAGACTGCCCGCCCCTTCTCGCTTCCCCCCCGCGCTCGCCGCCAACCTGGGGAAGGGGTCGGGGTCCCGCACTGAAGGAATCGAGTCCTCGGATGTCCGGGGCTGTTTCTTCGCTCGCTCGGATGCGCGAGGCGCTCTGCAGCGGAGGCGCTGCGCCCGATGTGAGGAGCGCTGCAGCCCCGCAGTGGCGCCCTTTCGACGGCGAGGCTCTGCAGGTGCAGGGAGGCACTGTGCGATGAAGAACGCAGCAGCGTTCCTGCGACGCCCCAGGACCTAGTCTTGCGGTCCTCGCCCTCGTTCCCCATCCGTCCACCTACGACTGCTGCCGCGCCAGCAAACAGGTCCTGCTGCCGTTGACTCTGCTGTGGCAGTTGCCTGTTTTGCTACTGCTGCCGCTCCTTGTTCTGCTCGTCCTCCTTGTCCTGGTCGTCGTCGTCGTCGTCGTCGTCGTCGTCATCGTCGTCGTCGTTGTCGTCGTCGTCATCGTCGCCGTCATCGTCATCATCGTCGTCGTCGTTCTCGTCGTCGTCGTCGTCGTCGTCTTCCTCCCCCATGTCCTCCTCCTCCTCCTCCTGATTCAACTGGGAAGCGAGTGCAAAGACGGTGCTCCCACTGTCACCGCAAGACGAGACAGCAACGCTGCTCTCGCTGCAACTCCGGCCAATTCGTTTTCAGCACTCTATATACTTTGGGGCCAACGCCTCGGCGTGCAGCGGGGCTTCAGGATGTGGCAGCGCACTGCAGCCTCTGCGACGACTCTACACCTTAGGCGATGCTTAAGAAAACTTAAGTTTTCGGCCAGAGTCTCGATTATTCTTAACGTTTCAGTGTAAATCCTAAGATTTTGATAGAAATCTTGGGTTTTTGTTCAAGTTCCGAGACTATGAATTTCTGAACCCATGATTTCTTAAGCATTTCGCAGGGTGTACGCGCCCGTGCCCCGTCAACGCCGACCTCTCGCCCGACGCTCCACGGCACGGCCGCCGTCTCGGCGGCTCGCACCGCCGCGTACCAGCAGGAGAGCCGCTCGAGACGCGGCCGAGACCTTGCTGCATGGCGGGTCGGCCTGCAGCACCTGCAGGCGATGCACCTGCCGCCGAGGCGCTGAAATGAGGACCACCGGATTCCGGGGAAGGAGGAGGAGGAGGAGGAGGAGGAGGAGGAGGAGGAGGAGGAGGAGGAGGAGGAGAGGATGAGGAGAGCGAGGTCGAGGAGACGAGGAGGAGGCGGAGGAGGAGGAGGAGGAGGAAGAGGAGGAGACGAGGTCGAGGTCAGAACGAGGTCGAGGAGACGAGGAGGAGGAGGAGGGGGCTCTCTGGCTCTCGGCCCGCTCCTTGGGCGAGCCCCTGCGGCAGGGACCCCGCCCGTGGCCGAGGCCCGCCGTGGCCGGAGCAGCAGCTCCTCGTCGCTCCCTGCTCGACGCTCCCCTCGACCTTGGGCCTCCTCCTCCTCCTCCTCCTCGTCTCCTCGACCTCGTCTTCTCCTCCTCCTCCTCCACCGCCTCCGCCTCCGGCCTCCTCCTCCTCCTCCTCCCCTCCTCCGCCTCCTCCTC